TGCTATAAAGCAATCCATATACACTTCTTGGGATTTTTTTTAACCAAAAACGTGTAGCAGAATACATTTTGGCCTAAATTTATGACGAAATTTTAGATTTTTTGGATATTTTTTTATGACAGAAATGAGAATATATAGCTTTAAAAAAATATATATATTTTTTAAACTTTTTTTGTTTATAGTGCCAAAAATAAAAAGCGCACAGGTGATCAAATACCACCAAAAGAAAATTATGTGTGTGAAAAAAAGGACATAAATTTCATTTATGTACCCCATTGTATGACTGCGCAATTGTCAGTTAAACTAGTGCAGCGCTGTATAGCAAAAAAAGGCGTAAATTGCAGTATCTATACCATAGTTTGTAGACGCTATAACTGTCACACAAAGCAATCAATATACACTTATTTGGATTTTTTTTTTTACCAAAAACATGTAGCAAAGTAAATTTTGGCCTAAATGTATAACTAACTGAGTTTATGATATATTTTTTATTGCCGAAAGTAAAAAAATATAGTTTTTCTTCAAAATTTTTGGTTTATAGCGCAAAAAAAAAAAAAAATAAATAAAAAGCACACAGGTGATCAAATACCACCGAAAGAAAGTTCTATTTGTGTGAATAAAAGGCCGTAAATTTCGTTTGGGTACAGCATTGCATGACCGTGCAATTATCAGTTGAATTAGTGCAGTGCTGAGTAGCAAAAAGGGGCCTGGTCATTGACGGGGGTAAATCCTCTGGAGGGCAAGTGGTTAAATACCTTCTTTATCTCTGTGCATAAAAAAAAAAATAAGAACATGGGGGAACTCAAGTTTCTTAATGAGGATAGTATTGCCCCAAATGATCCACAATAGCTCACAATTCACATGGTCCAGAGACATTTAGACAAAATAAGGTCAATAAAGCACCTGAACACTTACACCCAAGGGTCTTCAAAGACTTGAGCTCTGTTATATCTAGGCCATTGTTTCTAATTTTCAGAACCTGGTACACAAGAGCCAAATATCAGCCAGTTTAACAGAAACTGGCCACCATTTGGCCAATGTGTACAACAGCCTGTCCAGCTTCTGTTGAATGGGCAATGCTGGTAAAAGAGCATCCAATTAGCGCTCACAGTCAATGTCTGCGAGCGCTGACCAGTGTGGTCTGGGCGGGGGGGGCAGTCCGCCTGTCCTAACACAATAGCTCAGCGAGGAGATTGCTGTACAATCATTGCATAGTTAGTACAGCAAGTTCCTCAGTTCTTTTCGTGCAGCCCACTGGGCCGAGTTTAAAAAAAAAAAAAAAAAACTGCCTGTGTGTACCAGGCTTAAAGACTGGCATGGTACCACTGGACAGATGTAAGGCCAATGTGGTGCCTATATTTTATATTGTACAGCGCTGAGCAAACTGTTGGCGCTATATAAATCCTGTATTATAATAATAATAGATTTAAAAATGGATCACTCTACCAATTAAGTACAGACCGGTTAGTTAACATCTATAGTTGGAAAGATACTTGAAAGTTTAATAAAAGACCACAGAGTTTCTACTAGAAAATTATATTTTAAGTAAAAGCCAGCATGGATTCAGGAAAAACCAAACTTGTCAAATTTGATTTCTTTTTATGAGGATGTAAGCAAAAACTTACAAAGGAGTGGCTGTGGATTTTGCTAAATCATTTTATACAGTTAACCACACATGGCTAATGTGTAAGATCAAGTCTACAGACATAGAAAATTCAGTTTGAAAATGGGTAGAAAACTAGCTAAAAGACTGTATTCAGAGAGCAGCGGTTAATGATTCATACTTTGAATGGTCTAAGGTTATTAGTGGTGTACCCTCAAGGTTCAGTGCTGGGACCTTTATGTATTTATTTAGATTTAAACATTTATAAATGATATAGGGAATGGGATTAAAAGTACCATTTCAGTGTTTGCAGATGACACCAAGCTATGCAGTGGAATAACATTACAGGATATCTCCAACTTGCAAGCCAATCTCAATGCATCAATTGGACAACTAAGTAGCTAATGGGGTTTAACATTGATAAATGTAAAGTTATGCACTTGGGGGGCTAAAAACATGCACGCATCGAACATTCAAGGAGAGCAACTGGGGGAGTCAATGACAGAAGAATTTGGGTGTTCTGGTAGACCATAGACTTAAGAGCATGCAATGCCAAGCTACAGTTTCTAAGTCTAGCAAAATCCTCTCTTGTATGAGTATAGACTGCAGAGAGATCATTTTGCCCCTGTAAAAATCATATGTAAGACCTCATCTGGGAATATGCAGTTAAGTTTTGGGCACCAGTTCACAAAAAAGGATATTGAAGAACTGGAGCAAGTACAGAGAAGGGCAACCAAACTGAAAAGAGGCATGGAGGAGCTCAGCTATAAGGAAAGATTAGAGGAACTGAATTAATGCTCTCAAGAGGAGATTAAGTGAACTTGGTGAAGAGTTATTTACTTTCAGGTCAATACAGAGGACAAGGGGCCCTCTTTATGTCTGTCTGAAGGAAGTGAGATTTAACCTCCACATACGGAAAGGCTTTTTCACAGTAAGAACTGTAAACATTTGGAACAGACTCCCTCCCTCAAGTGCTGGTTCTGGCCAGCTCAGTAGAATGTTTTTTTTAAAAAAAAAAGGCCTGGATGCATTCCTATATGCACATAATATAATTGGATATTAATATTTGGATGTGACAGCACCAGGAGTAGTTGAGCCAGGGAATATAGGATTGCCTCCCCATGGAGCAAATTAGATCATGCTTTGTTTTTTTTTTAAACTTCCTCTGGATCAACTGAGGGTATGGATTGTGTATATGGGGGTTTTCAATATATTTTTCTTGTTGGTTAAACTAGACGGACTAGTGTCTTTATTCAACCTCACTAGCTATGTAACATGTAAAAGTGATTAAGCAGCTATTTAGCCACTTGGAATGTTTTTACATTATTCAGCATCACCTGCTGCAAAAAAAAAAAAAAAAAAAAAAAGGAAAAGAAAAATAATAAACACACACCAGGGTCATGACTGCAGAAGCAGCCATGACCCTGGTAGAACCACTTAAACCAGAGAACGTATGGGTACGTCCATATGGGGCAAGTGTCCCTACTTGCCAACACACCAATCATATTGGGAATTCTCTTGTTCTTCCTTTCTTCAGCCTCCTGTACTTCCTGGCCAGAAAACACAGCATTCCAGGGGAAGCCTTAAGCTTGCTTGGCTTATAGAAACTGGGACTGTTATAGGTGAAGCTACACTAAACTATATTTGCTGACCACTCATATAGAAGCGACCATTACAGTACATTGGTTTGACACAATTAGTTGATTTGTGTGATACACAAGATACAATGTCTGCTATTAAACCAGTGCTGGTATCACTATATTCAGGAGTAGTAGTACAATGTGTTTTGGGTTGTAGTTCTAAGTATGCCCATGAAATATGTGAGAAATATCTTATTAAATCGCCAAATGTGTATAAAACGTACTTAAATTTTTTGCCAAATTTTTTTTAAAATGCGTAAAGAAAATTTAAGTCTTCAAACGCCTCACCATGCCTCTTGAAAAAATACCTTGTGGTGGGTGTTTCCATTGTGCTGGTGCTCCAGGGCCTCCAAAAATGTGATAGTAAGGAAATGAGATGTGTAATTTATTCCTCTAGAAAGCTTGAAGGTGCTCTCTGAATTTTGGGCCCCCTCTGTGTGGCTAGGCTATAAAAAAAAAAAAAATTCTCATGCATGTGATATTGCCAAACTCAGGAGAAGAAGCAGAAATCTCTTTTGGGGCGCATTTCTAACTATAAACTACTGTGTTAGAAATATTGACAGCTGTGGGTAAAAAAAAAAAATAAAAAAAATTCTTTCCTGCATTTTCCAAAAACTTGCAAAAACAAACACAAAAAAAAAAAAATTATTTTTTTTTTTTAAAAACTCATTATGCTTTTCAGAAAATACCTTTGAGAGTTTGCTTTCCAAAATTGGGTCTTTTTGTGGTGTGTATTATTGTTGTTGTTCCAGGGCCTCCAAAAATGTGATAGGTAGTAAGAAAATTAGACACGTATTTTAAGCCCTGGAATATCTGAAGGTGCTCCTTGGATTTGGGGGCCCCTCTAAGCATCTAGATTGTGGAAAAGTCTCACATGTGTTGCATTGCCATACTCAGGATGCTTGGCAGAATGTGTTTAGCAATTTTAAGTATGCCAACTTTGTGAAAAAAAAGTTACATTTTTTATTTTTTTTTAAAAAAAGGTGACAAAAAAATTACAAACTTCAAAAAAACTCACCTCGTGCCTCTTACTAAATCCTTGGACGATGTACTTAAAAAAAAAAAAAAAAAAAGTAATTTGGGGGGGTATTTCTACTGTCCTGGTTCACGAAATGAAATAGGCAGGCAGTACATGAGGACTGTTCAATTTGCAAATATATACCACAGTTTGTAGACTAACTTTCAAAAGACCAAATATGCACTGATTTTGGTTATTTTAACCAAAGAAACAGAATAATATATATTTTTTTTTTTTCCAGCATTTGAGATTTTTTTGTTTTGTTTATATAGCAAAAAATAAAAAACCCTGCTCTGACGTTCATGTATGGTGCTGTTACCGTTTACATATGCATGTGGGGCTTGCGTAAGCATTCGCATTTGCGGATGATGAGCATGGGGGGAACAAACACGCCGTAAAATGTTATTTATATATTCTTTTTTTACCACTGTCCCTTTAATTTTTTCATCAACTTTATTACTATTACAGGGAACATCCCTTGTGACTTCTATATAAAAGAGCATCGCCTGTTGAAAATTTTGTTACCAGGATAATGTCTGTAGCCACAGGCATAATCCCTGTATAACCACTTCATCTGAGGATGTCATGCTTAAAAAAAAACAAAAAACAAAAAACTTTTAGATGAGTTTCTTAGTGAACACAACATACAGGGATATTCAAAATGGTAGTGGCACACACGCATTCAGGTTGAAGTAGATAGACCAGTGTCTTTATCCAACCTTACCAATGACGTAACTAATTAACATAGACTTACCTTAATTGTCCTATCACCAGAAGCAGAAACAATGTATTTGTCATCAAAGTCAACTACATTTACAGCTGCACGATGCCCAACCAGGACTCGCCGTAGTGTAATATCTGTTGGAGAGGCCATATCCCATACAGCAATTGACCGGTCTTTTGAACAAGTTACCATTAAGCCATTGCAAAATCGAAGATGAAGTACTGCTTCATTATGATGAATCAGAGTGTTGAGTACTTCCCCGCTATTCACATCCCAAACTCTAAAATGTGGGGGGAGAGAAAAAAAATTGATTATAAATCTCCAAATAACCGAAATATAAATCAAACCAGCCATTCATTACAAATATGTATAAATTGCATGTAAATAAATTACACTTCAAAAAGGTAGAACTCCAACCAAAACATTTGTTTTACTTTGGATAAAATGGGGAAGGGATTTATAGCTGTGTGTGTCCCAGCTCAGGGGCTGTCAATTCACACACTGTTCCCAATGTTGCTGTCAACTTCTGCAAAAGACAAAGATAGCTATAGGTTCTCATCCTTCTCTAATCTACACAAAGCTAAAAAATGATATACAGTGGGGAACGTTTGGGAACCCCAGCTAAAAATTTGTATTAATGTGCATAAAGAAGCCAAGGAAAGATGGAAAAATCTCCAAAAGGCAGCAAATTACAGATTAGACATTCTTATAATATGTCAACAAAAGTTAGATTTTATTTCCATCATTTACACTTTCAAAATAACAGGAAAAAAAAAAAAAAAAAATGGCGCCTGCAAAAGTTTGGGCACCCTGCAGAGTTAATATCTTGTACTGCCCCCTTTGGCAAGTATCACAGCTTGTAAATGCTTTTTGTAGCCAGCCAAGAGTCTTTCAATTCTTGTTTGAGGTATCTTTGCCCATTCTTCCTTACAAAAGTCTTCCAGTTCTTTGAGATTTCTGGGCTGTCTGTCACGCACTGCTCTTTTAAGGTCTATCCATAGATTTTCAATTATGTATATGTATATACATATAAAAAAGACCATTTTTTAGTGAACTTTGGATAGCGTTCAGGAAGGATTCTTCAAGTGTGAAAAATCTTTTCAGGGTTAACCCAATCATCAAAGTGCCCATTCTAATTGAATACAAATAGGAAAGCTGGATTTTTTGTTACAGTAAAAATCCCTTTCTCTGAATTCATTGTCGGACACAGCGTCTTCTATTTTTGACCATAGAGTTATATCACCACCTACAGGAGTAGGACATTAAGCAGAACCCCCCCAAAAAAAAAAAAAATAACACGGCACCACCTGTTGACAGTCCTGGCTGATATAAACCCCCTCTCTGCGTTGAAAATCCAATTACTGTAGTCACAAGCAGTGTCAGAAAAACAAAAAATTCAACAGAGGACTGGGTGCTGTGTGTCAATGAACTCAGAGAAAGGGATTTTACAGTAAACAAAATAATCCAGTTCTGTTATGTTATGTTTATTGACAGACACAGCATCTTCTATTCTTGACCATAGGGATGTCCCTAACAAGTGCCAACAATTGAGGGGTGAGTAACCAAGACCAAACAGTCGAAGACTAAAAACGAAGCCAACAGGAACACAGGAGCCCAACCAGAAAATACACCCCCCAGGAGGAAACAGAATCTCAAACTGCCGCCTGTAATACTTTGTGGCCAAAACAGGCATTCGAAGAGGCCAAGACATCCACCTTGTAGAACTTAGTGAAGGTGTGCACAGACAACCAGATAGCCATTGCATATTTGAGAGACAGAGCTTTCTAGGCCTTCTGTCGTCAGGCGTCTAAGTGCCCTAGTACAGTGTGCCATTACAGGACAAAGAGAAACCTGGACCCTCAATGACATAAGCTTGTACCACCGTATGCCAAATCCATCCAGAAATGAGAGCAGAGGATGCTGCCAGACCCTTCCTCGGTACGTCCTTTGATCTCAAAAAGGGAACCCGACCTCTGAAAGGACTCCGTAGAAGACAGATACACCCGAATTGCCCGAACCACGTCCAAGGAGTGCAAGGCAAACTCCTTAGGATGTGATGGGCGAGGACATAATGAAGGTAGAACAATTTCCTCAAATGAAAGACAGAGATCACCTTCGGAAGAAAAGAAGGGCATGCACAGAGAACCACCTTATACTTGTGCACCACTAAATATGGAGACCGACAGGATAAGGCTGCCAACTCAGACACTCTGCGATCAAAAGTTAAAGCCACTAAAAAGGCCACCTTCTTAGACAGTTAGCAAGGAAATCGCCTTTTGGAGGACAGAGAATCAGATACAGGTACCACAGTGGCCACTGGGAACACAACAGAGGTGCCACATGCCTAACCCCTTGAACGAAGGTAGAGAGCAAGGAGAGCATGGCTAGAGAACATTGAAAGAAAATCACCAGTGTGGAAATGTGTCCCTTGATCGTACTTAATGTCAGCTTTTTCTTAACACCCTGCAGAAAGGATAAAACACTAGCCGCTGAACACATATGAACACACGCAGCCTCGCCCCACAAAATATATACGTTCCAGGTGCAATGGCATATCTTCCAAGAAGTAGACTTTTGTGCTTTCAGCATGTCTGGAATCACCGACTCCAACAGTACTCTGTCTCTTAGAACCTTGCCATCAATAGCCAAGCCGTTAAAGCCAGCGATGGTAAAGCAGGGTGGAAGATCAGTCCTTCAGTCTATGAGACAGAAGATCTGCCCTGAGCGGTAGCCGTCAAGGGATGTTCGCGACCAACCGCACCACGTCGGCATACTAAGAGTGGCAGGCCCAATCCGGAGCCACCAGAATGCCTTTGGCCTCTATCCTTCGCAACAGGTGGGGTAGAAGCTTTAGAGGAGGGAAGGCATAGAGAAGATCATACTAACTCTAAGACAAAACCAGGGTGTCTGTTGCATCCGCCAGTGGATCCCTTGTCCTGACCATGTATCTATGTACCTTCTTGTTGAACTGAGATGCTAGGAGATCCACGCTCGGAGTGCCCCACCGAAGACCAATCTGATGAAACACATATGGATGAAGAGACCACTCATCTTGGTCCAACATCTAAGATAGTCCTCCTGCCAAATGTACACGCCAGGAATGTACACGGCAGAGAGCCCGGACATGACGCTTCACCCATCTGAGAATGCGTAAGACCACCAGCGATGCCATCACACTCCGTGTCACCCCTTGGGTCCCTGTCTGACTGGATCTGGACTGTGTGCCCCTGGAGACGTTCCATCCACTGTTCCTGGCAAAGCATGATTGCCCAAAGCTCCAGGACATGAATTGGCAATCGGGACCTTGGTGTCCAGCGACCCTGGGCCGAACTCTTCTCTAGAACTCCTCTCGAAACTGGACAGGCTGGTATCCTTCGTCACCACGGTCCAATGCAAGGGAAAAATCAAATTTTCCCTTTTAAAGGACAGAAGGCCAAAGCACTCAAAGCAGGGATATCCTGGTCTTTCAACCCAGTTGAATCTGGATGTCCAACTAGACGGGGAGCTTGTTCCATTTGGACAGGATTTCCTTCTGAAGGGTCCTCATATGGAATTGAGCGTAGGGATCCACCTCGAAGGCAGACACTTATCAGTCCCAGGACCTGCATGCAACAGCGAAGGGAAGACCATCTGCATGAGAGCAGCAGTCGAACCGCTGAATGAAAGTTCCTGGGCATGCCCAACAGAAGAAGCACTCTGGCTAACACTGTGTCGAGAGTCAGGCCCAGATTGTCCAGCTTTCAGGTCAGGGTCAGAACAGATTTCTGAAAATTCAGGATCAACCCGAACTCTTGCAGGGTGCGGACTGTGATTGCCATGTCGTCCCGCAAGGCTGAACAAGATTCTGCCTGCAGAAGCAGATCATCCAGGTAACCAATCACAGCAATCCCGTGTTGTCTCTGCAAGGCCAGGACTGAGGCCAGCACCTTGGTGAAGACCCAAGGAGCGGAGGCATCATCAAAGGGCCCAAATTGATGGATCACCTTTCCAACCGTGAAGTGGAAGAAACGCTGATGCCCGGCACAGATGGGGATATGTAGGCATGCATCTTTTATATCTCCCACTACTACACTCCCTGATTATTTCACGCCTTGACTACTGCAACTCCCTTCTCACCGGCCTACCCCAGCTTAGGCTCTCCCCGCTTCAGACCATCTTGAACTCAGCGGCTCGGCATTTAGTATGGTTGTTCTGCCATGGTTGAAGTGGTCTAGGTTTGATGTTGCGTGTAGTTAGGGGTGCCAGAGAGTCTAGGGCAGCTGACAGTGAGTCCTATGTGGTGGTGGCTAGGTCAGGACATGACAGTGGAAGGATGCTGTCGTGTAGGCGGTCGGCAGCCGAGTGGAGGGGGGCCGGGTTCAGGTTGCGGAGGTTGCAGCTGGTGATGGTTTGGCGCCTTGGGGGGGGGGGGGGTGGGGGGGAGTTAGGGGAAGGGGAGACGGAGAAAGTGAGGAGGTGGTAGTCAGAGAGGGAAGAGGGTGTTAGTGAACTGGTTGAGGGTACAGAGGTGGGAGAAGACGAGGTCCAGGGTGTTCCCATCGATGTGGGTGGAGGATTGAGTGTACTGTGTGAGCGCAAAGGAGGAGGTTAGGTGGAGGAGTTGGGAAGTAGCCGGGTTGTTGTCGTTGATGGGGATATTGAAGTCCCCAAGGAGGATGGTCGGTAGCTCAGAGGAGAGGAGGAAGGGAAGCCAGGCGGCGAAGTCATCCAGGAAGCGGGGTATGGATCCGGGAGGTCTGTAGATCACTGCGATCCTTAGGGGTGTGGGGGAGAAGAGCCAGATGCAGTGAGCCTCGAAGGAGGAGAAGGATAGAGAGGGGGGGTTAGGGAGGACCCGGAAGGTGCTCAGCGGTGATAGGAGCAAGCTGACACCACCACCTCTGCGACCGCTCGGTCTGGGTGAATGGGTCCAGATGAGACCTCCATGGGTGAGTGCCACAGGGGAGGTAGAGTCAGTGGCCTGTACCCAGGTTTCGGTGACCGCTAGGAGGTTGAGGGAGATAAAGAGGTCATGGATGGCCGTAAGCTTGTTGCAAACCGAGCGGGCGTTCAGGAGTGCAACCGAGAGAGGGGGCATGGATGCGGGGAGGAGGGGTACAGGTATGAGGTTGAGGGGGTTGCGGCGGCTGGCGGGAGCAGGGGGGTCCCTGGGGGGGGGGTGAGGTGGTGAGGGGCCAGGGTTCGGGGAGATGTCCCCAGCGGATAGGAGAAGGAGGAGGGTGAGGAAGGTGGCATGGGAACGGGAAGTGCAGGAGCGTGTGGGTCCGATAGTGGTGGCACATGGGTCGACAGGGGAGTGGAGTAGCAGGAGGAGGTGGTGAGTGCCGTAGTGGGGAGAGGGGAGAAGTGAAGGGGCAATGTAGAGCCGTTTTGGGGGGGGTAGGCGGGTAGAGGGAGGCGATTTTTGGGATGGAGGAGAGGAATACAAGGAGGAATGCAGGTGGCATGTTGGGGTGAGCGGAGTGCTGGTCAGGTCGGGGGAGGTGAGGGATACAAGTCAGGGCATGGTGATGTGGAGAGTCTGTATCGCCATGGAGGAGTCCATTTGAATCCTTCTGTAGGGGGAGAGTGAGAGTGGAGGGCAGCTGGGTCAGCAGCTGGCTAGTTGCAGTCTGTGGGTGCAGTATGCTGGCGTCCGTGGGTGCTGCGGCACGTCTTCAGTGGGTACGGTGGTTCGGCAAGCGGAGGGGTCGTAGGGTGCAATGTCTGGGGGTGTTGGTAGGCACGGCGTCTGGTGATGCTGGCGGCTCGGTGACTGGAGATGTTGAGGCCAGGCGTCGCGCTGAGGGCTCGGCGCTGAGGGCTCGGCGTCGGGCTGAGGCGCTCGGGAGGCGCTGAGGGCTCGGCGTCGTGAGCGCTGAGGGAGTCGCGCCGAGGGCTCGGCGTCGGGAGGTGTTGAAGGGTCGTCGTCAGGAGGTGTTGAAGGGGTCGTCGTCAGGAGTGGGTGTGGTGTGGACCGACGTCTAAAGGTGGAGTGGGCTAGGCGTTGATAGCTGCAGTAGGGCTCGGCGTCCGTGGACGAAGTGAGCCAGTGCATACGGATGTTGCGGGCCAGCGACTGAGGGATGCTAGGGGCCCAGCGTCTGTGGGAGCGGTAGGGCCTGGTTGTCAGTGGGTGCTGTAGGCCACGTGGCAGGCTTGACTCCACCGGATTGGACAGGGCTGTGCGATGGTAGGTGCCCGGCCGCGTGGTACCCGGAGGGGAGTAGGGAGGCAACTGGTAGTGGAGGCTTACCCTCTCGGTGGCGGTGGCGGCTTACCCTCTCGGTGCGGGTGGCGGAGGTGCGGCGACGTCTCGATTCGCTGGGTGGCCTGGAGAGGTCCCTGGTCCGAGCCTAGGTGCCGGCTGATGCAGGGTGCTGGGTGGTCTGAAGCAGCCCCTAGGCTGGGGCAGGGTGCCGGTAGCTCGGTGCCCGGTAGCTGGGTGTCCTGAGGTGGCAGCTGGGTGCCCGGTAGCCTGAGGTGGACCCAGAGCCGATGGGGAGGGCTCTAGGGAGACGGGCAGGTCAGCGGGCTGGGTGGTGTAGTAGCGATCCGTAGTAGGTTTGAGCTGGTTTCTGGTGGTCAGGGTTGGACCCAGGGCCGATGGGGAGGGCCCTGGGGAGGCAGGCAGGTCGGCGGGGGACGGAGCAGCAGCGGCAAAAATCGAGGCCGCGGCTTCGGGTGCATGGTAGGCCGCAAGTCCCTGGTTGTTGAGCAGGGACCAGAGAGTGGTGGGGGCCCTGCCAGGGTCGGCTGAAGCCCAGATGGCAGCTGATTGGGGCTAGGGGTGCAGGAGCTCGCCTCTACACGTCCAGTCCCGCCGCCATCTTGCATGCGTAATGGCAGCAGCGGAGGGCTCATCCTCAGCGGGGGTTGCTTCTTGCTCACCTTAGGCCACCTCCACCCAGAAAACAAAAGACTGCAGGACCATCGTCAGTGTGTCAATGGGAGGCTCTCAAGGGACCAGTCACCTCAAGGAAAGGGACAGGTAAAGAAACTTGCTTCTGAGACTCCATCTCTGGAAAGGGACCCTCAAAGAAAGGCACTGCCAGGGAAGTCCACTAGTCACAAGGGAACCCCAAAAAAGGTACACAGGGCCAGCAGAGAAGGGATACCCCTACCAGGAACGTGCAGCGCTGCCAGCATGCCCCTCGCAAAGATGCAGGCTGGAGAAGCCCTGTGGAGACCACACAAATTAGCAGGATGCCTGGGAACAACCACCCACGTGATCCAGGAGGGCAAGAGATAGCAGGGAGGCTACAAGAAAATGGCCACAGTGGGGGGGCCAGGGGCAAATCCGGCAAAACTAGAGGTCTGGCAGGGAGAACGGAACCCCACAGGCCCGGCCAATCAGAGGAGAACCCGAGGGGGGAAAAGGCTACTTACCAAGCTGGGGCATGTCACGGCCTACTCAGCACTTGACTAGGGTCTGGGCACTCTCGCTGGCCAGGCTAGAGAAACCACTGGATCTAGATTATCCAGCCCATCGCCCCAGTTGTTGATTGAAGAGCTCTGCAGGGAAAAACCCAGAAACAAAAAGGAGAAACGACTAAGGAACAAGAGGTCCAAGCAGGGAGCTAGGTCGTTATTCCACGGTCCCAAGTTTCTTTTTCTGCCAGCAGGTCTTTTACATAAAGGGGCATAGCAAGATGGAGAAGATTTGGGTGCAACAACACTGAGGCTTTTGTGCAAAGCAGAAGTGAGGATATCTACACTGGTAAGATGCAATATTGCATAAAGCTTTAACATCAGGTTTATGAGAGATTGGTGACAGGGAATCTTTTGCTGCCTCTTAACACTGCCTCTAGATCCTCTTCATTCCCCACAAACGAAGCATTTCACTTTCATACTGTGGCAGACAGAGCGGGGATGGAGAAGGAACTTGGCACTTTTGTAATCTGGACAGTAATGGCTGTACTGAAGCCATAGTTGCCCATGAAAGTCAGACACAGATGCAGAAAATCTGATTTGGTCAGATAGTCCACTTGTTACGTGCCTGAGATGGAGTTAAAATCTGATGCAGAGACCGGTGTTAAAATCGTGTCCTGCTCTAAGTGCAAGAGAAGCATTGGCACTTTGAGTGGCTTAAGCATTTTGTAGGCCTTCAAAATAGTGTATGTTCATTCGAACTTTTGTCACAGTTCTCCTGTGCCTGGCTTTCGCCATTGCTATCAGTAAGGAACTCAAGGAGTAGGGTGTGGAAGTGGGGCAAGCGTGTCCGTGAAGGAGTATGCAGAAACCTAGGTGTAAACCATTCTATAGCAAAGTCCTTGTGGCACAAGTGAGATAAGAAGTGACTGAGTACCTTATAAAGGGCTCTAGGCAGAAGTGGTAATAGTGTGACTGGTGCTGTGATTTAACGCCTAGTTATTGATCTGAGATTATGCTCTATTGATGGAATTTTACCCTCAAGTTTGAAGCGTTTACAATTCCAAGTTTCCTGATATAAAATAACCACTATTTAGGAAACCTATAATAAGTGAAGCTACAGTATCGGTCCAGTACAGGCCTAACCTGTCTTACCTGTGTGTCTCTGGTGCCTAGGGTCTACGCTTTGCCAATCACTATGGGCACACCCCCTGGAGGGGTCTGGGTTCCAAAAGGGATGGACAATGACCCAGGACCTGTATAGCACCCTGCAGCTAACTGCACATACTGCACTAAGTGCTGGGGTGAGCACCCAAGCAGGACCAAGAGCCGAATAGAGATTACAGGCAAAGCCGACCGTGGGGTCTGGGCATGAGTCCCAAGGTTTTAACGAGGTTGCACCAATCTAGATGCACGGTTTCTATTGCATTAGAAGATAGAAGTGGACTGAAAAATCCATAGTAAAATATAGAACTAGTGAAGCACATGTCACCTACAGGACACAAGAAAAAAAAAAATCTCAGAGTGGGGTAGGGTTATAGTGGAACACCCAGGGGGTCATGTTAAGAAAGTTTGCTAATGTCCAGTCACCTGAAGGTACAAGTGTATATGCCAGGGTCTTAGCATTTTAAGCCTGTGTTATGCACTGTACAATTAGGATATTCTTTGCAGTCCTAGTAAGCGGTATTCAGAATATTTTATTAATTTATTACTTTATTAATCCAAATAGGGAAATTATGCAGAAATGCATGCATACTTGCAGCTGTTGCCAGCATTCCTCGTGTGAGGCTCCTTGTCGGAGAATCACAGAAATAAGAGAGCTGCAGATTCCTGTTACATTGTTGAGACAATACCAACATTTTTACACCTGCTGCAGACTCTCTACCAGCTTCAGGATGCCATATGAAAAGCATGACAGACATGTGGTGTAACAGCAAGAGAAAAGTAGAGAAAGAAAAAGAAAAAAGAAAAAAAAAAAGAAAAAGGCAAGGGAGGCAGGGAGCAGCAGCTGTGACTGCCACACCTGAAAGTATTTGATTCCTATAAACCTTATAAGGCTTTTAATTAAAAGAACAAATCCCTTAAGAAAAAAAGGGGCAACCTTGTATGTTATTTTAAAGATGCATTGTTTCAAGGATTAAAAATCAAAAAGTTTGCTTTGGTGAAATGTATACCTATGTCGCACCATACCTTACAGTGGAGTCTGAAGAGCCTGTAACTATGACTCGTTCGTCATACTGTAAACAGAGGACTGATCCAGTGTGGCCTGTTAGGATTTTTAGACATTCCAACGTGGTTTTATCCCATATCTGCAGTGAAATACAGAGAAACCATTTAGACATTTATCAGCAGGCTGAAACAGTTACAATGATCTAACAGATATCAACTCTAAAACAAATTATGACAGTATTTTCACTAAAGCATCTCTGAATTATTTGAAACGAAAGGAAACAATCTGTCCTCACTAACAAAACGGGACACACTGAGCTTCTCCTCATCAAAACACACAATAAAGCAGCCCAGCTTCTAGATCTTTAACCCTTTGCTGTAACAGAGTGTCACTCAAACTGCGTTAACCCCTTAATGCCACACCCCCTGGGCCTTTAACCACTTCTGGATGAGTGATGGTCTTTCTGTGGTTGTACCATCTTTTAGAGCCAGTGGTCTGCTCTCTTGTTCAAACAATCAGAGCGGTTACTGAATCATGTATGGTCTCCCTAAGGCTCTCTCCTTTAAACCATGCAAGGTGGTGCTAATGTTATGTACCAAGTTCTATTAACTGAAGGATCCAATGGGATATACCCGGTTTCCCTGAAAATAAGACCTACCCGAAAAAAAGACCTAGTACTCTTTTTTGGGAATTGTTTAAGATCAATACCTACCCCAAAAATAAGACCTAGTTGTGACCAGGGCTTTTTTTCAGCAGGAATGTGGTGAACGCCGTTCCGACACTGGACCTGTGCATACCAATATCTGTCTCTTATAAACACAGAAACGCGGCTTTTGTGTTTGCAAGTGACAGTCCCTCTAGTGACAGCACCATCCGCTCCCACAGAACCCCCTACCTCTGTACTTTCATGTGGGACAGGGAAGGAACAGATATCAGTGGGTGCAGTGTGTTTAGGAGTGGAGCAGGGCATCTCATCCTGCAGCCTAATGTATGGAAGCCGATGCCCCAGGGGGGATCGCTGGCCAGTGGGGAAGAGGAGTGGTGTGGTGTGTGGGAGTGCGCTTGGTGCACAGTGTGGGAAGATGGGACCCAAAATGGGAGTTAATATAGAGAGGGGGGGGCCGGCTGCTGACAGCTGTGTATTGCTAAGCTAGCTAACCATATGAAAGCAGTGTAGGAGGGGGGGTATGTGCAAAGGTGAGCAGCACTCAGGTGTTAGAGGTAAATTGACAGGTGAGTTGCAGACAGGGTACATAGGTAAGCTGTAGCTGGGAGGATGCAGAGGTGAACTTTCACACAAACCAATTAATATACAGTTATTGGAATTTTTTCACCAAAAACATGTAGCAAAATACATTTTGGCCTAAATTTATGATGAAATTTGAGTTTATTGGATATTTTTTTTACGACAGAAATGAGAAATTATTTTTTTTCAAAACGTTTGGTCTTTTTTTGATTATAGAACAAAAAAAAAAAAAACCCAGAGGTGATCAAATACCACTAAAAGAAAGCTCTATTTGTGTGAAAAAATAACATTTCATTTATGTACAAAATTGCATGACCGTGCAATTGTCAGTTAAACTAGAGCAGTGTAGCAAAAAAATGGTGTAAATTCCAATATCTATACCATAGTTTGCTGATGCTATACCTTTCACAAAAATCAATTAATATACATTTATTGTGATTTTTTTTTTTTTTTACCAAAGACATGTAGCAAAATACATTTTTGCCTAAATTTACGACAAAATTTGATTTTATTGGATATTTGTTTATAACAGAAATGAGAAAAAATAGTTTTTTTTCAAAAGTTTCAGTGTTTGTTTACAGCGCAAAAAAAAAAAAAACCTCACGAGTTGGTATCAGTCGTTGGGGGGGGAGGAATCGTGCCCCATCGTTGGTGTCAGTGGGGGGGAGGAATCGTGCCCCATCGTTGGTGTCAGTGGGGGGGGAGGAATCGTGCCCCATCGTTGGTGTCAGTGGGGGGGGAGGGGGGGGAGGAATCGTGCCCCATCGTTGGTGTCAGTGGGGGGGGAGGAATCGTGCCCCATCGTTGGTGTCAGTGGGTGGGGGGGGGGAAGAATTGTGCCCCATCGTTGGTGTCAGTGGGGGGGGGGGGGGGAAGAATCGTGCCCCATCGTTGGTGTCAGTGGGGGGGGGGGGGAAGAATCGTGCCCCATCGTTGGTGTCAGTGGGGGGGGGGGGAATGGGGGGGGAGGTGCCCCATTGTTGGTGTCAGTGGGGGGGGGGATCGTGGAATAATGCCCCATCGTTTATGTCAGTGGGGGGGGGGGGGGGGGGGGGGGGAATAGTGCCCCATCGTTGGTGTCAGTGGGGGGGGGGGGGGGGAATAGTGCCCCCAGTGGGGGGGGGAAACGTTGGTGTCAGTGGGGGGGGGGGAATAGGAATAATGTCCCATCGTTGGTGTCAGTGGAGAGAGGAATAGTGCCCCATCATTGGTGTCAGTGGAGAGGAATAGTGCCCCATCATTGGTGTCAGTGGGAGGAATAATGCCCCATCATTGGTGTCAGTGGGAGGAATAATGCCCAATCATTAGTATCAGTGACACAAATGATGGGGCACTATTCCTCCCACTGACACCAATGACACTTAACTTGCTGACCCCTGTTCCAGAATGGTGCTGCTGCACCCAGCATACCTGGTTGCAGCAGCACCATCTGCACGGCACACTTACCTGTCAGCTGTCCTTCACTCCGGTCTCTCTCTCACTCGATGTTTGCGGGGCTGCTCTGCTCCGCCTCCTCGCAGGTGATTGGCCGCCTGTGTGCCTTTCCTGAGCTACAGTTCTGGCACCCAATCACCGGTGAGGAGGCGGAGCCGAGCAGCAGCACGAACATCAAGTGAGGGAGTGGCCGGAGTGAATGAAGGAGCAGCGCTTCCTGGACTGGATCGTTGTGGGACTGGGACACGGAGCCAGATAAGATACAGCAGCCCCCTGCCCGCCCCTGTACTTAGTGTCCCTTCCTCACGGCAAATACGCCCCAGCCGGAGGGCCGGATAAACGTCCTCGGCGGGCCACATGTGGCCCACGGGCTGTAGTTTGAGGACCCCTGATCTAGAGCAAGGTGTACTGCACCAAGATATTGATGGGCAGTATTCCCTCCTGTGAAGACCAAGTCCCCCTGAACTGTAGCCACCTCAAAACCAGACCCCCAACTAGTGAGACTGGAATCAGTGGTTATTTTTCATATCACTGGAAGGAAAATTACCCCTTCTCCAGATTCCAAACAACCAACAACTAATTCAGATTCTGCAATACCTCTGGGGAAAAAGCCCTCTGGTAATCCAACCTTCATGATCCAGACAGATAGAAAGTTCTTCTACAAAAGACCTGGAGTGGAACTGCACATAGTAAACTGCTTCAACGTAGATAACATATTCATCATGCATACACATACTGAAGGAATTCCCAGGGAGTCTCTTCTCCAAGTACTAAACAGGGCTGAGTTCAGACAAGATTAGATTTGTTCAGAGTGATGTGGCCGCAGTCCATTGCAGCTCCGGCACTTGGAATAGCTGCAATACCAGAAAAACACAGTGGCCCAGACATACCTGACACCACTGGTCTATCGTGAAATGCGAACACCAGATTACACCCCAACCCCCTGGACCTGAGGGCAGCACACCTGCCGCCCCCATTCAGATACCCTTTAAGTCCATAATGTAGCAACTATATTGTCATCTAACTATGTAATCCCACACAGATGCAGGTCCATAGCTATGTTGGTCTACAGTTATGCAATCACAAAGGAAAGCAAGCATGCAGCTATGCAGGTACACAGGTATGTAGTTATGTAGGCAAATAGGTATGCAGTTATGTAGGTATACATGTTCATATACAGGTTATGTAAATATACGGTTCAGATAATTATGCAGGTATGCATGCAATAATGTGATACAATGCTGCAACTGCCCCACTTTCTAGAAGTTTATTGTTTCATCAAAGCACTGTCAAAATTAACTGTGCTTGGTTCCATACTAGTTTTGCAGGACTAGTCAAGCGCATATGCATCAAACTCAGCCTTAAGGCAGTCTCTATGCTGCTTCAGTGTTGCCTAAATGTAAGCTCCTGCAGATCAAACACAAGCTACTCTGGAGACAACTCCTTTAAGTGCACCGATACCCAAGCAGGGGTGCATCAAAAAAAGTTGTACAAGCCACCACACCAGATTTAGCAGACAAAGGCAGTGTATAATCATAGCCTGTCTGGTCATGCAGCTCCTCTACAGGTAATACTAATACATCATCATCCAGCCATAGACTGCTCCGTGTGCGTGCTCTCTCTCAGGAACCTCACTAACCTGTCAGTCCACATGGAACCTAAGCCAAAATGGCCACCCCTCTTTTTCCTGACTCTACTGCACAAGCGTAGGCTACAGAGAGCGGCCTTTTGGCCCCTATTGACTGGAGGAGAAAACTGCAGCCCAATACTCCTTCAAAGACACACAGATCATGGCCTGGCCAGACCAAACAGCACACTGCTCTCTGTGGCCATCGGGAGAATGCCCAGACAGTCAGATTTTCAAAAAAACACTGGAAATGTAAACCATTCCCACTGCAGGACTCTGAATCATAAACAGGAGTCCATCTTCAGCCATCACGGCAGGTTCTGTCATAAAAGACATTCAAGGACTCGGTCCCCCTTATATCTGGGGTCCACCCTCTTGGACCTGTATAGCACCATGCTGGAAAGCATAGTGGTCAGAACAAACACTGCACAGGGTTCCATTGCACAGGGTCGAGCGCTGTAAGGACGCATTACAGGCAAACCTCAAGGATTCACCTCTCCTATCCGAACAGACTCCGGTACCATCCATTTTGGCCAACAGCTTTTCAAATGGATCCGATTAAAGTCCTTGATTCTCAGCAGAACCGTTCCAGACTTCCACGTATGCTCCAAGAGTGCATGCAGCACATCAGTGACCATCCACCTTACAGACACTGGCAAAAAAAACCTGAAGTACTTCCTGTGTAAGAGGAGTTATATAAGGAGGACTTCCTGTTTGATTGATCTGCCAGTGTCCATTCACCTATGGGTGGCATATAACCCACAGTCATGAATAGCCTGCTCTGTGTCCTGTGATGTACAATAAAAAAAATACCATATGTTTATTTGTACACTGTGGTTCACTTTTTCCCTATAAAAACTTGGGAGAGTCAGATTGCACAATGCCAAGAACAGAGGCAATGGACTATTCAATATTAGCAAGCATGTTTTGTGAAGTTCCCTCTTCAATACAACAATTTGGGGAAGAGAAATCTTCCTCAGTTTCCCCCAATATGGTCTCAATAGCCTCTTTATTCTCTTCTGTGTCTGCGTCTTCTAGGACTGTCATATCGAAATATGACTCAGTTGACAAATGTTCTGAGCCCTGGACAAAAATGGTTGTGTTAAGTCTGTATTTTGCCCAGGGAATTGAGACACAGATGCAGGAAATTCTGCTTTTGTCAGGTAGGCCACATGTTTTCCTGAAACAGAGTTAGAATCAGACGCAGACACCGATGTTAGAAATGGATCCTGATCAAGGGACACCGTCTCTTGGGTGGACATTAGCAGAGCGAATGTTCCCCAGCAATTTTGAATTGGCTCCCTTTCACCTGGTCTCTGTCACAGCTACAACTCAAGACATTTCCCTGGGGGGTATTCACGGAGTCAAGTGTGGGAAATGGGGTACACGTGTCTGAAAGGATTACGCAGTAACCCAGGTGTAGAACATCATGTGACAAAACCTTGTGGCAAAATGGCAGGAGAAAGCACCTGAATACAAGGGCTATAAGGTCAAGTGGTGTTTTAAGTGTGCAACCAGTGGTGTGATGTAAACCTGGTCATCCACCTAAGACTGAACCGAGTGGCTCACATTTTAGTGCCAAGTTTGAAAAATTTGCGCTGTGAAGTGGATACATTTCAAACACAGCCCCGTTTTACAGTAAGAGATAAATGAACACTGGACTGTGTATAAAATCCGCGCTTCATCTGTACTGGTGGGCACACCCCTAAAGAGGTCTTCAAGTGATATTAACCACTTGCCTACTGGGCACTTTTACCCCCTTTGTGCCCAGGCCAATTTTTAGCTTTCAGCACTGTCGCACTTTTAATGACAAATTGTACGGCCATGCGACACTGTACCCATATGAAATTTTTATTATTTTTTTCACACAATTAGAGCTTTCTTTTGGTAAAATTTAATTGCCACTGGGTGTTTTATTTTTTTAACAAAAAAAAAAAAGCACAAAATGTGAAAAAAAGCTTTTCTTTGTTTCTATTATAAAATTTTGCAAACAGGTAATTTTTCTCTTTCACTGATGTGTTGATGAGGCGGCATGGAGAGGCAGCACTGAGGGGCACGGAGAGGCAGCACTGATATGCAGCAATGATGGTCACTGATATGCAGCAATGATGGGCAACACTGACAGACGGCGCTGGTGGGCAGCACTGCTGGACACTGATGGGCACCAATGCATGTACAGCACTGATGAGTGTCACTTCAGGGCACTGATCATCAATTCCGATCTGCTCTGTGACAGTAGCCGGTTATCGGCAGTACTTTCCTCACGCTGTGACAGTGGGAGGAAAGTGATACAGATAACCAACTATATTTACTTTGTGATCTGCTGTGTCATTGGACACAGCTGATCATGTGGTAAAAGGCCACTGTGATTGGCCTTTTACCTCATCACGAGATCAGCTGTGCCTGTAGGACACACCGATCACGGAGATTGCTGGATGCGCGCCGCTGGGGGCGCACAGCAGGGCGCGTTCTAGGAGGACGCCATATAACGCCCTCCCACAACTGGACAACCACACTGTAGCCGTCATTCGGATATAGCATGGTTAGCAAGTGGTTAAAGAAAATTAAAAAAAAAAAAAAAAACAAACCTGGTATACTTACTTGCTCTGTGCAGTGGTTTTGCACAGAGCAGCCCAGATATTCCTATCAAGTCCCCTTCCGGCGCTCCTGGCCCCTTCCTCCTGCCCCCAGAGCCAGCAGCTTGCTATGGAGGAACACAAGCTGGCTCACTCCCAAACCGCTGCTCTGCGTGTCCCATTCACACACAGCTGTGGCTCAGCCCTGCCTCCTCTCTCTCCTCATTGGCTCACTGGCTGTGACTGACAGCAGTAGGAGCCAATGGATCCCACTGCTGTCTCAGACAATGAGGAAGAGTTCCCTGGGAGCCATATAGTGATGGGGCTCAGGAGAATATTAGGGGGGCTGAAATTCAGCCTTTGCAACCATTTTCAGGGACAGGAATCTATAGTGATGGACAATGGCCCTGGACCTGTATAGCAAGGAAAATAGTTTGAGGTGCAATCTTCTGTAAACACTTTACGCTCTGATCTTCATATTACCTCTATAAAAGCTTGCCTTTTGGACAGTGTTATTAGTAATGCACAAAATATATTTACCATGGGTAATGAATGAGCACTTACCTTAATAGAGTTATCTCGGAGGCCACTAATAATCTTATCATCATCATACTGAAGACAATATACTCCTTTACTGTTTTCAGAACGACACTGTATTCTCTGCAGATTATGCCTGCCACACCTCCAGTTTGCTTCTATGGTCTAAAACAAAACATAATAAAAAATGAATGTACCAGGTACCCAAAGGTTTGACATCATCTTATATGTTAAAGAAGAACTCTTGGCAGAAAAATTTTTTCTGTGAAAGTGCTGGTGATTTCATATCTTGTTAATTTTTTTCCCCAAGTCCATCTTCTCTGTGAAAATTGAGGTATATTATATGATTCACAGGCTTTCTTGCCTATGACATTCATATTGTAAGATCGGTGGCTGCTAAGCTCTGTATTCCCGCAGCCACCCGTCTTGTCTCTGCCCTGCTGTAATTTCTTACAGCGAGCAGTGAAGCAATTTCATCCCTGCTCCCAGAAGTGGGCAGATTCAGGAGTCTCAGACTCACAGTCTGAACAGCTCACTGATGCACTCATCTAAAGAGCCAGGAGACTCCTGGTCTATCTCACCTCCCATGTCCTAATTTACTGACTGACAAACCAGGAGTCTCCTCCACTCTCTCAGCAACCCAATGTAGATTAACACTATGTAGGCAAGTACCGTATTTGCCGGCGTATAAGACGACCCCCTACTTTTCCTGCTAAAATGTAGTGTTTGGGCTATACTCGCCGTATAGGACTACCCCATCATTGGTATCAGTGGCAGGAATAGTGCCCCATCATTGGTATCAGTGGGAGGAATAGTGCCCCATCATTGGTATCAGTGGGGGGAATGGTGCCCCATCATTGGTATCAGTGGGGGGAATGGTGCCCCATCATTGGTGTCAGTGGGAGGAATGGGTGCCCCAACATTGGTGTCAGTGGGGGGTGGAATAGTGCCCCAACATTGGTGTCAGTGGGGGGTGGAATAGTGCCCCATCATTGGTGTCAGTGGGGGGGAGGAATAGTGCCCCTTCGTTGGTGTCAGTGGGAGGAATAGTGCCCCATCATTGGTATCAGTGGGAGGAATAGTGCTCCATCATTGGTATCAGTGACACCAATGATGGGGCACTAATTCCTCCCACTGACACTTGCTGACCCTGTTCTCGTATGGTGCTGCTGCAGCCAGCATATGTGGTTGCAGCAGCACCTCTACACTGACCACTTACCTGCTGGTCCTGCACTCGATTTTCGTGGGGCCGCTCGGCTCCGCCCCCTCGCCGGTGATTGGCCGCCTGTGTGCCTTTCCTGAGCTACAGTTCTGGCGGCCAATCACCGGTGAGGAGGCGGAGCCGAGCAGCCGCGCGAAAATCCAGTGGCCAAACTGAAGGAGCAGCCGCACTTCCTGGACCTGATCGTCGTGGGACCAGAACCAGGTAAGAAACAGCCCCTGCCCACCCCTGTACTTAGTGTCCCTTCCGTCGGAAGGGGGGGGGGCGGCCCCCCTAAAAAGTGTCAGTATGCCGTATACCGGTGTATAAGACGACCCCCGACTTTTGAGAAGATTTTCAAGGGGTAAAAAGTCGTCTTATACGCCGGCAAATACGGTACACAAGTGCAAGAAATAAAGTACACGCTTAATGCACCTGCCTACATTCACGCCCATTCATGCAATTATGTCTCCATCTACAGCTATCCATGATGGGAGCTGCAGTTTCTCATACCTGTAGAGTAAGAAAGCATGGCCCTGGATTTACACCTCCTTCTGCCGAGAAAAGCTCCTTTTTTTTTTTTGTTTAACTGGAGTGATGACATATTGATGAAATAATAAATTCTAAATGTCTCCTAAATGGTGAGGCTGATAACCTAACTACTGAAAGTTTATTAGTTAGCATAGGTCACTACCTATTGAAGTTTTTATGTGGTATCCCAGAATTCTTCTTTAAACTAAGTTACCTTTAATGTACTATAAGCAAACCATGCTACGCTATTTGTTTCTGGTCTCCTGGCTGCAGAAGCTGGCTATCCACAGTCATGAGCCACAGTACATATACCTTTTGAATAATACTAAATTAAGCAAGGGAAAGCCACTCACCACAAAAGTCAACTTCTAATTTATTAAACCCAAGCAATGCACAGACAGTTCACCTGGCAGCCCAAATGCATTTTACTACTCACAGAAGCGTAGTCATACGGTAAGAGTATATATTGTACATAAACACCATTCTTATTATCCAGATCAAACAACCATGGCACTACCTGCCTGGAGTTCGTATGATCTCCCTGAGAAATGCTGGTAGGTTAATTGGCTCCTGTCTGAATTGGCCCTAATATGTATGAATGTGAGTTAGGGACCTTAGATTGTAAGTGCCAAGAGGGTAGGGGCTGATGTGAATGTATAGTATATGTAGCGCTGTATAAACTGACGAAGCTATACAAGCACCTGTAATAAATAAACCACACCTATAACCCCCTAAATTATCCTGATGAAATAAGTGCACTGAAATAACTGCAGAAAAATGCAATCTGCAAGTGGATAAGCCACAATACAATCATTATATGACACCAACACCAACCAAAAAGCTCTGTAGAAATATAAAGTAAGGCCCCTTTTCACATGAAGGTTGTCCGTTTTTCAGGTGGACCTAGACGGGCTGTCCATTTGCCTTTATGGACCAGCAAGTACAAATGGGCTTGTGTCCGTTTACACCTGCCTACCTCCAGTCTGATCCAGTCCACTGAATAAAAACAAAAACTAATCTGTCCTCCTCCATCTAGGCAGATCGGAGGGCAGTTGAGTGTAAACAGACAACGGAGTCAGTTTACTCTCGGCCACCATTCGAGCACAGCGGGCTATGTCCTTGTCCGCTCTGTATGAACTGAGAAGACATTGTTGGCTCATCTGCCTGCTCTGCAGTATCATTTGGTGACATAGCGAGTCCCATATGTGCAGGACAAGTTGGTGCAGTGGCTAGCACAAGTAGTGTCCCGCAGCCACCAAGAATTCAAACACAGGTCCGTACAGCTCATAGTATCCTTCTGGATGTGCTTGCAAATCCTGATTGGCAGCCCACAAATTCTGCAGCACAAAAACATCCCTCATTCACTGCCCAACCAGAAATTCAGGTGGACACAGCAAATGTAACTACTCCACTTTTTTGGAGCAGTTTTTCACAGATGATTTCTATAATTTGAATGTGGACCAAAGCAATTTATATGCACAGCAATATATCACCGCCAACTCAAATTCAAACTTTGCCAGATCATTTGCATGGAAACCTATTACGGTTTCTGAATTTAAAGTTTTTTTGGGCCTAACCTTCAACATGGGCATTACTAAAGAATGAGCTGCGGTCATATTGGTCCACACTCAATTTATCATATGCCCATGCTGCAATGGCCAGGAACAGATATGAGAATATAATGTGATTTATGTATTTCAACATCAATGCACTCCGTCGTCTAGGGTACAGCACGGCACAGTCTAGGGCACATATTTTCACTGGGTCTCAAAAGATGATAGGTAGTCAGGAAACTGGCAAAATCGCATTTTGAGAAACCCTTATATATGGAAAGTTTACGGCTAAAAAAAAAAAAAAAAAAAAAAAATCAAAACAAAAAAACAAAAAAAAAAAAGCCATATATCAATTATTGAGTTAATGTTTTGTTGTTACTGTGTTTTATGGTTAACCATCGTTCGTTTCTTTGCAGGAAAGCCAGCAGCACCGATCTGTTTATTCTGACAGCAACAGGGTGTGTTCTAAGAATATACGCCAGCCATAGCTGCTGAATGACATTTATCATCCACAATTAAAACAAGAAAATATACGCCCAAGCATGGGGGCCTGGGGTGGACAGTGGATGGATCGCTCCTATGCTTTGGCATATATATTTTATAAGATTTCTTGGCACAGATTTCAATAAAAAAAAGTTGTTTTAGTGAGTTAATGTTCTATTGCTACGGTATTTTGTTGACGGTTGTTTTCTATGCAGGAAGGCCATTCAGCTGCAGCACCGATCTGTTTACTCAGACAGCAACAGGGTGTGCTCTCAGAATATACGTCAGTTAGTGCAGTGCTACTGGATATTTCTCATCCGCAGTTAGAAAAGAAACATATGCACACGCATGGGGGTCTGAGGCGGCCAGTGGGTGGATCACTTCTATACTTTGACATATATATTTTAAATAATTTTTTGGCACAGATTTCTTCATACAGATCTGTTGGAATCTATTTTTCCATTCAGCCCACGGGCTGAAAAAAAAAAAACCCCAAAACGAACATTTCATGTATGCCCAACATTAGAAATGGGTGAATGCAGGGCAGTATTGCTCTAATGCTGGGCATACCACACACTCTTTCTGGCAGATATTTCTTCCCCAAAGGCTGCATAAAAAACAAGAAACCCACAAAGATATATGCCAAACAAGGAATAGCAACAATAGTACATCACTGGACTGAGTGGTTACACCAAAATGATGCCTGCAGCTACAGGCATCATCATGGTATAGTTTTTTTTCAGCTGACGGTTGGCTTTCAAGTAAAAGCAATCCTAGAGAATCCTAGAGACTAATTCTCAGAAAAGAATACCGGTCACTGCCTATTGCTATCACAGGGGAGATTTACATTCCCTGTGATAAAAAAAGATTTAAAAAAAAAAAATTAAAAAATGAAAGGGACCGTGAAAAAATAAGAAAAAAAAATGTAAAAACATGTTTTAAAAAATTAACCCCCCCCCTCCCGGTCATAAGCTATGGCGTACGCAAGCTTCGGCTCTGTGTTGGTATGTAAACGATGGTTGCAGCATGCATGCGAGGTACAGGGGCAAACGTCAGATAAAGGGCAGTAATTCTAGCACTAGACCTCCTGTGTAAATCTAAAGGGGTAGCCTGTAAAGGCATTTAAATCATTGCCTATGGATATTACAAATGTATGTAGTTTGTTGTAGGGTGATGCATGGGGCGTGCGCAGTTTTAAAGTATGTCAAGTATATCCATTTACTCGGCATAACATAATTTTTCATATTTTATATAATTGGGCAATATATTGTGTTTTTGTGCATTCAAATTCAAAAAAGTATTTTTTTTTTTCAAGAAATGTGCGTTTGATAAAAAAGAAAAAAAAAATTGCTGCGCAAGTACTGTGTGACATAAAATTGCAACACCCGACATTTTAT